GGCACCAGGTGAATTTGATCTTGCACATTTCTTTTGTGAAGTTCATAAAGCTTCCATCTCCTCTTATTGAAACATTCAATATGGCTTGGGCTGTCATATTTATGTTTTTGCATTTTACATGCAGACATGTGGTTCTTTCAATTATTATCTTAACAGTGACTCTTGTTATGCATATGCCAAGGGCTAACAACAAATTAATTTTGGTTTATGTTGTTGCAATGACCTTGTTGTTTAAATCTCCTTCTATATGGTGCTTCTTTCTTCGGATTTTCTATATTAGAAATAATTATGTTGTTAAATAAATAAAATAAGTTTTGGACAAGGAAACCTATCTATGCTTTTATCTGTTTCTTCTCTAAGCTATAACTTTTATCTAATGCTGAAAGTTCTGAAAAACTTGATAGCTAAGTTCAAGCATTATAAATTTGTTCTTTTATTACCCAATATCTGATGTAAGCGGTTTTCAATTGGAATATACAGGATATATTTCTGCACCGGCCATGCCTCCAATGTTACCCCCACCTGGTGCTCCCCAGGTGCCGAGTCAACTTAGTACCCTACCAAGGCCCCCTTCATTAGCTCCCCCTCCAACTGCTCCTGGTAGCACTGCTGCCCCAACTTCCAATGGTGCTCCCTCGTCTGGAATGTACCAAGCCAATCCACCAGCACCATCATCTGGAGGTTATGATAATTACAATGCCAGTGCTCAAGCACCTGAGGGCAATCACTGACCTCGTTAAACTTGTATGTTATTTTATATTAATTATTGAATTTTATGAAATACAATACTTGTTCAACTGTAACTCGGAGAGAAAGCATTGTAGTTGCTGGAATAACGCATCACTGAATTTCAACTAATTAGCATTCTTTCCTATTTCATTTATTTGTGTTGTGCAGTTCTCTCTGCATAATGCTCTCTATTGCAATCTTAAGACTAGAGCTATTTGTGCTTTCCCTACCCGCCGTTCATCAAACGAGGACTTGCCATTTGTATATGTAGAGTAATCATTGGTATGTAGCATGTCCATCAGCTCGAATGCAGAAAAAAAATCTTATAAGTTATGTTTTTGATGGAAGATTTATCTTAAGTGCCAATCGCTATAACTTAGCTTCTATTCTGCAATTAGTTTATTTTTAAACCGAGTTTCATTAGTGATAAATGTAGTTGTATCGTAGGTTTGGAGAAAAATTCATTTTCGTATTGTGTTATTGGCTCTGAATTTCTTAAAAGTTTTGCCTGTTGATCAACAACAGAAGTCTTATTTCACAATGTAAGGTCGGTTACATAGATCACATATGCCATTTTCCTCTATTATGACCAAATCTTCATAGATATTTCTAACCACGGATCCTTCTTAACAACATCTTTTAATGTTCTTCTTACTCTCCACTTCTCCCTTTTCAAGGATTGAAAAACCATGCAATCTACTTTCCTCATTTTTATTTTATTTGTAATGTTCAAACCGCCTCGACTGATTTTTGTCAACTTTTCATCAATATGTGTCATACTAATATCTCATTATAGACAATTTATTCATTTCCTATCATTTCTTGTGTGATCACACATTCATCTTAACATTATAAATTACGCCACTCTTACATATTTTTTTTTCATGTTTTTCTTATAGAGTCTAGCATTCACGACAATAGCCGAAATATATAACAGTGTGCAAACATTCTTGGTAGTTTACTTTTTTATCACAAATAACTAATAATACTATACTTATAGTGATATATATACATATAAGATATTATGAGAATATTTATTATTTAGTATTATTTTTTAACTTAGATAGACGAAAGGTATATAAGTCTCCCCAAACTCTAAAGAGAGAATGAATGGGCTTGTATTATTTTATGGATTTGTTTTGCTAAGTCTGGATTGCTGTAGCCGAATTGGAGTATGGCTCTTAGCCATAACTAGATCTGAGCTTATGTGATTTGCTGATGTGAGACTCTGTCGATGACCGCGTAAGGGTTCTTTTTTAGGGTATGTTCACTTTAAAGATTGATTTCACGGAGAGTGAACGAATGAATTGATTGTTGGTTTTTTGAGCGGATTTGGAAGTGAGAGTAGATTTAAAAGTAAAGTTTGTGAAAGTTAATGTAGGATTTGTTCGATGTGTTGAAGATTACTAAAATGTCTATAGTTATAAAATTAGTATAGAATAATAATTGTTAATGTTATATATAATTGTAAAAATGTTTATAAGAAAAAAAAATAAAAATTAATTTTTAAAATGTAAAAAAATGATAACTTAGTAAATTGAAATAATTATTTTTAAAATATAATATTTTTTTTAACATAATTGAAGTGCAAGTGGTTTGATTTTTTTTTTTGTTATTGAAGTGAACTTTAATATTTATGATAAAACAAATAATTAACCGAAGTTACAATATTTCATGATATAAAAAAAGTGCGAACATAATAAGGTTTACCGTTCGGTCTGTGGCTGATCAGACGATCATACGGACATAGATCCAAGCCCAAGCCTGAAACGACTAGTGAAAGAATTTGATGTTGGGTAAATAGGTGTCACTGGTTCAAAGTGTTTGAAAATATGACCATTCAGAGGAAGCGCGTAACACTTCGAATCTCACGCCTATTAGAATTCGAAGGGATGAATGCTTTTAACCATTGAATTTGGCTTAATCTAACGACTAAGGATGGATGACAGGTAAGGCCTTCACAACTATAAATAAGGGTGAGTATCACTTGTCATTTTCACCTTTGCTCTTGTATTCTTTGCTTTAGATCGATCATTTTTCATATTTAAGGTAATAATGGCATTCTTCCAATTGTCTTCGTCTTAGGAGTCTTTAGGAAAGGGTGGCTAAGGGTATGAAGGCGATGCTTCTTTGTCATCGGTGTCCCTTCACCCATTTTGGGATCAACTAAGCAGGACAAGGATTTGGACGACAGCTTGGCCACTATAGATACCAATAAGGCCACTAGCTTCGACAACATAAAGTTCATGTTGACTTGGATGTAAACACAAAGAATGAGGGGGAGGAATTAAACATGTTGGTCGTTTATAAGGGAGCGTACCTTGTTGAGGCCAATAAAAAGGCTAAGATGTTCATCTTGACCGTTTATAAGGGAAACAAACAAGTATTTCATGGAAAGGGGATTTGCTCTATAAACTACTTTTATATGTATGTTTGTCTTTTCCTACATATGCTCGTTCGTCTTCCCTTCGACGAGTTTCAAATGAGTATTTTACAGAAGTTGAATGTGACACCTACTCAGCTGCACCTGAACAACTAGGATTGGGTGCAGGCCTTTAGGGTGCTCTCCTCGACCCTCAATATCACCCCAACTCCCTCCATTTTCTTCATTACTTTCACACTCGCCTGAACGCCAAAATGAGTTTAGTCTCCCTTGTATATGAGAAGGGGAGGTGGCTCTTTTCATCATATGTCGCCTCCTTCAACGGTTTCAAAACTAATTATTTCAAAGTAGGAATAACAAAGGCTAGTCAGCCTAAGTTTTTTTATGAGGCCAATCGACCCAAGTTTCCTTTGTATTGGACACAAAATCCCCAAAAAATTTACTTCATGGCACAAATCTCAATGACACCAGATGAAGTGGTTGTAGTGGAGATAATCGATCAGCTCTCTCACCGCCTTCCTCCTTGAAAAATTGTCACGTGTCATGGGTTTGTAAACCTCTACAACAAGGTGTTTGGTAAGTTTTCTTTATCAACATTTGATGACTGATTGACTCTAACTTGCTAAATTTTCTCTTATTTTTTAAAAATAATGGCTTTCCGCAATCCAAAATAAGAAGATTGGTTCAAGAAGATCTCCGCTCAGAGGGGATTGACAGTGGTGGCGTAGCTAGCGTTGGGTCTTTGGGCAGTCCATCAACGAGTCTTAAAATAATGGCTTTCCGCAATCCAAAATAAGAAGATTGGTTCAAGAAGATCTCCGCTCAGAGGAGATTGGCAGTGGTGGCGTAGCTAGCGTTGGGTCTTTGGGCAGTCCATCAACGAGTCTTAAAATAATGGCTTTCCGCAATCCAAAATAAGAAGATTGGTTCAAGAAGATCTCCGCTCAGAGGAGATTGGCAGTGGTGGCGTAGCTAGCGTTGGGTCTTTGGGCAGTCCATCAACGAGTCATAAAATAATGGCTTTCCGCAATCCAAAATAAGAAGATTGGTTCAAGAAGATCTCCGCTCAGAGGAGATTGGCAGTGGTGGCGTAGCTAGCGTTGGGTCTTTGGGCAGTCCATCAACGAGTCACCCTACCTTGGGCACTCCAACACTAAGTCGCCCTGCTGTTGCTGAAGGAGCTCAACGCCTTTTTCCCAATCGTCCTCTCTCTAGGTGTCCATCCACTTAACTTGCTCGGGCTGTTGAATATTCTCAAGATTTTCATCAATTTTTTTTTAGTTAACTTAATTAAAATTAAAGAAAAGAAGAAAATTGTTTAAATACCTTTTTCTAAACATTTACTTTTTAGATTTAAATTTTATTCATCTCAAACGAAATTGAATGTTGACTCATTTAATGTGATAATCTCATTGATTTTTTATTATTTCGAATCCAAATATTATAGTATTTTAGGGATACAAAATATTTTTAACCCAATAATTACCTATCTTGAAATATATATGCAAAACTAATAATGAAATTATGACTATAAAAATTATGAACATGGTATAATTATAAATAAATGTCGTTTAAAACCCTCAAATGATCCTCATATTTGTATAAGAAGCCGAATTCAGTCATATGTCTTTAAGTTGTCTCAATTTGATCCTCAATTTTGAAAATGTGATGTAATTTGACCATTTTTTTAGTAGACAATGTTAGTTTAATGGGTTAAATATATTTTTCGTCCCTTAAGTATCACACGATTTTGTGTTTACTCCCTATTCGAAACTTTTGTTCCTTTTAGTCCTCTTAGTTTTGAAACTATTATAATCAGTCCTTAAAATTGAACGGCGTTAACTTTTGTTTGATGTGGCAAACGACGAGTCCACGTGTGAGGTCAGCAATGTCAGCTTCTATGTTAGGTGTCTACCACGTATCTTTTCTTCTCTAAATCAGATTAGGGTTCTTCTATTCTGATTCATGATTTCACCGGCCGGTGGATTCATCGGCAGATCCAAAGCAAGACCCAAAATCGCAAGCCCAAAAAAACCCACGAAGGCCAAGCCTCATTCTAGTTCCTCTCCTTGAAAACAGTCTCCCCCTTCAACTGCTCTGCCTTTCCTCAGGCTCATCCCGTCTTCGCCAACACCGTCGAGGGCTTGCTCTATCCCTTCCTCTTCTCCCTCTTCGATTTTGAAACCCTCCCCGACAAGCCTCACAAGAACATTGTAAGGATGCTCAAAGGGAAGCCCTTTCGCAAGCCTGACATATCCATCACCATTGATAAGGCCAAGAGCAAGGGCAAGGATGGGTTGGTCGTCGACGTTGGTACCAACGTGGGTATGGCCACCTTCGCCGCCTCTGCCATGGGGTTTCAGGTTTTGGCGTTTGAGCCCATGTTAGAGAATTTGCAAAAGATCTGTGAAGGGATTTACTTCAACCGAATTGCGGATTTGGTCACTATGTTTGAGGCCGCTGCGTCGGATCGCGTTGGTAACATTACCGTTTACAAGGTTATATTTCTTGCTTTATTTATTTTTTTAATTTAATTTTTATGTCCTATTTTTCGAGCTTGAATTGAATGTATGTTGTAGAAGCAGGCTTGTTTTAGTTGGATACCAATTCAATTAGCTGGGAAAGAATCATTTGAAGTGCGTAGAGAGAAGAAGAAACGTAGAGAAAATAACTATTGAGGGAAATAGATAAATTAATAAAGAACTATTTCTATTAGTGGGAAGTAACACACCCAGTGAAGTATTGGTAAACATCCCCAGAAAATATGAAAAATTTAGAAGGGAAAAGCGCAGTAAGCATGTTTGAGGAAAAGAACAAGATGGAATCCCGATCATCTATAGAATCCGATGGAAGCACAGAAGTTGGAACATGGAAAGATGATTCTGATTTTTTTGAACTGGCGGGAATGGAAGAATTTGGTGCAAGGTACTGGAGCTCAAAAACATGGTCAGAAGGAAAGAGAGGCATCCAATGTGCAAGAAAAGCGTAAACAAGTAACGAGGAAGATGACATTACACTTGGACTCGCCGTTTGCCATATCAAACAAAAGTTATTGTCGTTCAATTTTAAGAACTAATTGTAATAGTTTCAAAACTAAGAGGACTAAAAGGAACAAAAGTTTCGAATAGGGACTAAACCCAAAATCGTGTGATACTTAAGGGACGAAAAACATATTTAACCTAGTTTAATACCACATGTTAGTATGAGGTTTTTTTAATTTGTTTTATTTTATTTTTTTTTAATTTTTTTAAACTATCACATGTCAAATGAGGATCTACCACATGATAGAGATAGTGTGATATTTTGTCTCACTTCAATTCTATTTTTTTTAAGTTGGAGTAATTTCACCCCTTCTAAATTAAGATCATATTTAACTTTTATATAGATATATAATAATATTTTATTTAAAATTAATAATTTTATTAAATATTCTTAATAATATTAAATTTATATTTGACATTAAACTTTATTTAAATTTTGTTTCAAATATTTATATGTTAATAATTTCAAGGATTAATACCTTTTTTGGTCCCTCGAAAGAGGGGGGATGTTCATAATCGTCTTACCTTTTTTAAAATGTTCAAAACGGTCCCAACTTTTACAAAAATTGGTCAACTTAATCCTTTTTTGTTACGACGTTAAATTTCTAACGATACAGCTGCCACCCTGGACAAAAGTTAATGACGTGTCCAGTTTATCTGACTGCGTGGCAACCCTAATTCCCAAACCCTAGCTTCCTTGTGCTGCCAGCACCATGGGCAACCGTAGGCCGCCATCAGCCACTATGTCGTCTTGCCGCAACCTCGCCATCACCCAACACCAGCGTCGTCGCAGGTAGCCACCACTGTCACCAATACAGAACGCGAACACCAAAGTCGCGAGTCCTCCATTATCATCTTCAGCATCTTCCTCGACTTCCATCTCCACAATGAGACACTTTTCAGGTCGCCGTAGAGCTGCAAGGACCGCCATCCACCATGACCATTGTAAGAGCACTCTCTCGCACACACCTGTATAAACCTAAACGGAGAAATCCCCAATTCCAAAAATCTTTCGAAACCTAAATCACCGACACAGCTCTTCAATTAATCTCCTCGTGACTTTCGCCCAACCTTGAGCTAGCCATTAGCGCCTCCATCAGACCTAAATCGCGCCATCTCCCACTGCGATAGAAACCCACCATGGCCAATGTTCATCATCTTCTTCGCACGGTAGAACTATCACGCCGCACCTCCAGATCGCAACCTGCACACCATGGTTTCTCCACCTTCGCAAACCGCGAGCACCTGCAAGAAAAGAAATCCAGACAAAGATCCCATTTCCAAATTGTAATCCTAATTGCACAACCATGGTTTCTAAATCACGGCTTTAGGGAGCCTGAAACGTGAGGCGAGGTTGCATCAAGATGGCAGGGTAGCTGACAGCGGCCTACGGTTACCAATGGTGCTGGCGGCACAAGGAAGCTAGGGTTTGGGAATTAGGGTTGCCATGCAATCAGAGAAACTGTACACGTCATTAACTTTTGTCTAGGGTGACAGTTGCCCCGTTAAAAATTTGATGTCGTAACCAAAAAGGATTAAGTTGACCAGTTTTTTCAAAATTTGGGACCGTTTTGAACATTTTAAAAAAGGTAGGACAATTCTGAACATTTCCCCTCTTTCGAGGGACCAAAAGAGGTATTAAGCCTAATTTCAATATAAATCTTAGAGTTTTTTTAAAAGATAACAATATTATAAATTGAAATATAAAATTTTAAAATAGTTTTATAACAATTTAAAATAAATATATTTAAAATTTAAAATAATATTTTGAATAAAATTCATAATAAAATATTAATTTAAATAAAATTAATCTTATTAAAAATATTAATAAAAATATGAATTTTATATTAAAACCCTTGTATTTTTATTAATATTTTAGGTTAAATATTAATAAATTTCAATGTAAGATATTAATTTTAAAAACTTAATCTTATGAAAAATATTAATAATATATAAATTTTAGGTTAAAATTATTGGAATTTGTATTAATATTTTAGATTAAATATTAATAAAATTATAAACTTGGAATATATTTATTTTAAATTGTTATAAAACTATTTTAAAATTTATACTTAAATTTATAATATTGTTATTTTAAAACAAATTCTAAGATTTGTACGTAAATTATTAGTATATAAATATTTGAAACAAAATTTAAATAAAATTGAATGTAAAATATAAATTTAATATTGTTAAAAATATTTTTAAGAACCTAGGAAATAGATTATTATAGTTGGTAGGTGTATTAAAATAATGAGACCGAATATTTTATTATAAAATAACTTTATAATATAAATAAAATTTTCTAAATTCGTCTCATTACTTTAAGAACATTTTATCTCTCTAAACCATTTTTCCTTCATTTTCTCTCACTTCTCTTTAAGATTTATTGATCTCAAGTCATCTATTTGACGATGAGGAGGTGCTTAGACAATTACAGTGTCAAGGTCTACCTTTTTATCCGATCAATTTGGTGTTTAGAGCAAGTAAGTTTCATCTCTTTTCTATGTATTTTTCTTGACTCTTGACCATGCAACATAAATCGGTTTTGCATGTGCTGAGAGTTTCTCTTCCTTGATTCTTGGTTCAATTGAGATTCTAAGGTTGATCTCTAATCACCAATCAGTGATGTGTAGGTTTTTCTAGAGATTCCTTGCGGAGGAAGCAACTATCGTGGATTTTTAGAGTTGTAGAAGTTTTCTAGAGGTAAGGGAAGCTAGAATTTTCTTTAATTGATGATTAATTGTGCATGTCTGAAGAGTTTATGAGTATTAAACTGTTGAATGAACTTTTTGTTTAATGATAGAAGTAGCATATTCAATTTGGATGTTTCAAGTGTGTGGTGATGAACTGTGATTGTGAATTGTATTGAATGATGAATAGTTTGTTATTTAATATTAATATGAAAAAATTCTGTTTGGAATAGGTATAGTAAGGTTTGTTGTATAATGATTGAAAGCGGTGAAGTTTTGGTATTGTTTTGGAAGGAAAAAGTTAGATAATTGGTATTGAAGTCGTGAGATAGGAAGGGTAACTTGGTTTGATGCAGTTGTGGTCCTTTATGGAATGTTTTGTGAGTGTTCAAGTGATTGAAATGGAAGAAAATCTATGATGAATTTGTATGGTGATGGATAGGTATAGTTTACATTAGTTTAGAACTAGTTTTTGGGGAAGTGGACTAGTGAAAACTTGAGTTGGGAGTTTTGTTCTCAAATGGTCAGTTTGGGGAGTCTTGGTAAGTCATATGGGACTTGTTGGAGTCCCCAAGTTGCTTGAAATTGTGCCACAAATGGTAGAATTCAATTTGAGTCTCTTAAGTGAGGATTTGTAGATTTTGGAGTTTGTTCTTGGTAGTAATCACCTTAAATGTGTTTAGGATGGTCTAGATACAATTGCTTAGGTATAATTGAGTGTATAACACGATCTAGGAGAATTAGAAATTGGAAAAAATATATCAATTTGGTCAAGAGTGGTTTGAGGTGAAAATTATAAAGTTTTTGTGCTGTAGAATTATGTAGACTCGCTGAGCGAGTGGAGTCGCTAGTGAGAGGCTAAGGCTTTGGACCACTGTTTCTAGTCTCGCATAGCAAGTTAGGTCGCTGAGTGAGAGGTTGGAAGGTCTCAACCATTGTTTGTGTATTCGCACAACAAGTTGGGTCATTAAGCGATTAGTTGAGGGGTCTGAACCACTTTCTCTGGATTTGCCCAGCGAGTTGGATCGCTAAGCAAGTGGTTGAGGGGTCTGGACCACTATCTGTTTATTCGCACAGTGAGCTGAGTCGTTGAGCGAGAGGTTGGGGTTTGGGATTAATGTTATTTTATTCGCACAATGAGCTTAGTCGTTGAGCGAGAGTTTGGGGTCTGGGACTACTATCTATGTATTCGCACAATGAGCTGGGTCACTGAGTGAGGGAACTCTGTGGTCGTCTAGCGAGCTTGGTCGCTAAGCTACTAGTCCAAGACTTTGTTTTGTTCTTTCCATCTTTGTTTCTTGATAGCTTGGATTGGTTTTTAATGAAAATACTTTCTTTTTCTATCTTTTGGAAAATCATTGGAACTTTCTTTAATCACACAAAACATTAAAAAGAATAATGCAGTAAAAGAGTTAAGAGATAGAGAAACCAACACATATTTTTTATACTGGTTCGGCCAAGCCTACATCCAGTCTTCTTCAACAACCTTAGTTGAATGGAACCACTATAATGATTGAGTTTACAAGCAATAATACAAAGAATACGTCTCAATGCACTATCCTTCCCCACTCAAAATCAATTACAGCAAACAAGAGGTGAACACCCTCACACTCTCACAACCCAGAAAGCAATCCCAACTTTCTAAAACCTTAGAGCTATCCTAACTCTAAGAAAACCTTGAGAGCAATCCCAACTCTCAACAAACACAGTTCTCTCTCTCTGGCACAAACGCACAAAAACTCAATCTACAAATTGAAAAAGATAAACATGATCTTCACAGCAGACACTCCAGTAGTGCAGATATGATAAGAAACCTTTGAGCACAGATCTTGACAAAATCTTTACGTATTAACCTATATTTGATCCTTGATTCTTCGAGATGGTTCTTGGACACTTTCTGTAATCAAAACTCAATCAAATGTTAGATATGAAAATGTATATTCA